GCAAAGTCTGGTTCTTCACATGATTATACTAGTGAATGTACTACAAAAGAATTTGAAGGTTCTGAATTTTCTATGAGTGAGCTGGGTATAGAAGTATGTAGTCAAAATCAACTAAAAACAGACCAAGGATCTTTACGATTCAATAATTCTTTCATTGAAACTATTGATGTCACTGACATTTTTCAAGATTACGAAACTGCTGTTGATGAGAATACAGAATGCAATTTAAAGCAAGAAGTCAAAAGTGACCTTGATGAAAAAGGTGATATGGATGATAGCAAATATGAAGAGACTGATGAACATGATAAAGATCCAATGATTGAAGAGCTTGAGTCTATTTTCCTTGACCTGTTGTCTACTGTATCTGCAGAGCCAGTATCATCAGCAGACGTCAACAAGCCCGTTGACCAAAGTGATTACTTTCTTACAAAGTCTAGTTACAAAGCGAGTAAGAGAGCAAAATCACTTAGCTTGGATGATGTTGCAGAATCTGTGGCAAATGATTTTCTTGACATGCTGGGTATTGAAGACAGTCTGGTGGATGTAAGCTGTGAAAATTTTCCTGATTCTCCCAGAGAGAACCTTCTGAAACAATTTGAAAAGGAAAACCTCTCTTCCATGAACTCCATTTTTTTCTCAGACAAGACAGAGGACAAGGCTATATTCACTCGCGTTGCTTCAACTGGCCGTGGAAGAGTTGCTTGTTCTGATGATTTTGATTTATCGGTGGTTAATCAAGAAGTTGAGAAGGGGCAGACAAGATTAACACTGTCAATTAGAAATAAAAGGAATGTTAAAATGCTTGAAAACTTGGAAACAGAAGCTTTAATGAATAAATGGGGTTTAAATGAGCAGGCGTTTCAAACTTCTCCTCACTCCAGCTCTGGTGGATTTGGAAGTCCTATCTATCTTCCCCATGAGGAGTCACTAGAATTACCTCCTCTTGGTGAAGGTTTGGGACCAACTGTGCGGACAGAGAATGATGGCTTCTTGCATTCAATGAATCCATTACTTTTCAGGAGTGCAAAGAATGCTGCAAGATTGATCATGCAAGTTTCTTGTTCGGTTGTGCTTCCTGCTGTAATGGGTTCTAGTGTAATGGAGATATTAGAGTGCTGGGCATCCAAGGGAATTGAGAAGTTCAATATTCAGGCAAATAAGTTGATGCCTTTGGATGATATCACTGGCAAGACAATGCACCAAATTGCTGGGGAAACTGGATCTAGATCCAAGGTGGATGAGAGGTTTGTAAATTATGGATTAGCTTTTTTTCTTCTTCTTCTTCTTCTTCTTCTTTGCTATTTTTATGCTTTGTTCTTATTCCGTGCTATATTTTATCTCCTTGGTTATTTTGACAGATTCTGTATCCCAACTGAAGTAGAAAATTATTCTTTTGATCAATGTTCTATTAACCTGAACTCAAGCTCACGACGCTATGAAGTGGATCTGGATTATGTTTCTCCAGAAGATCTTGTTCCTTTAGCATTGACTAAGGTTGAACCCCTCACAATTGAAGGCTTAAGAATCCAGTCTGACATGTCAGATAGTGAAGCACCTTCTTGTATTAGGCACTGGTCCCATGGAGTTCTGAATACTAGAGAAGCTAGTGGATTGCAACATGAGAATTTGAAAGAAAATGATGGTGACATTGATGAATTAGTAAACCTGTCTTTGTCATTGGATGAATGGATGAGGCTGGATGCTGGTTGTTTCAATGATGAGCTCGAGATTACTGAACAACTTACTAAAATCTTAGCTGCCCATTCTTCAGCACCCATTGACTTAAGCAATCTTCAGTTGGCAAGAGATGATGAGACAGTAGATTCCTTGGGCCAAAACTATGGTCTTTTAAACAGAACCTTCACATTAGCTCTTAGAGTTCAGCTGAGAGATCCCTTCCGTGATGCTGAAATGGTTGGTACCCCAATGCTTGTTCTAATCCAAGTAGAGAGGTCTTATCCATTGGAAGAACACATCCATGTTAATGGCTCAGAAAAGAATTTTGATGGTGAAGAAGACAGTATGAATGAGCAGTTGGTAGGGGAAACAATAAATCCAAAGGAAAAACAGAGAGGTCTCCATGAACAACACACTTTTCCTCGGTTTAGAATCTCTGAAATCCACGTGGCAGGTTTGAATGTTGAAAATAGTGATGAGAAAATTTGTGGAATGAAAAGGCACAAACAATCTGGATCCCGATGGTTGCTTTCTAGTGGCATAGGCAGGATGAATAAGCATCCATTTTCCACGTCAAATGCTATAGTTAAGTCATCCTTGCAGTTGCAGACGAAGAGAAAAACGAGCCCTGGTGATATCTTGTGGAGTGTCGAGTTAGCGTCATTAAATATTCATGTAAGAAACCCTGATATTATTTTTCCCAAGGAAAGTTGTCCAGAAAACAATTTATAGACATGCATGGCTTCCCCTAGTGTGCTCAAAGGCAAATACAGATAATGGTTCATATTGTTTGTGTAGCTTAGGTGGTGAACCGTGAACATAGCATCTTTGTCTATCCCAACTTGCAATTTCTCATTTTGATTGTAATATATATAATCTTTTTTATACATGGCCACAGTCACAAACTCTCTGGTATTCTGTACTTACATTCTCATAATGCCGATCAATGTGGTTGAAAGATATATGTTACTTTTCTTCATTCTTGTGCATTATCTTGAAGAACATTTTCTAGTGCCATGGCTGTTTCTGTGCTGGTCTGGTGGTGCTTTTTAGATATTTGTGTTACTCATGCCAGAGTTAAGCCTAAGCAGATAATTGGACACTAAAGTCCACAACCGCTCCTTGAAAGTGCGTTCTGGACGAAGTTCGTCTTGTGACCCCAATCGACAAAGGATCACAATGAGGTAAATCAGCTAAGTTGTCCATTATTGAAGGTCAATAGGTAATTTTCACGAGAAGTTGATTTTAAAATCTTGTGATTTTTGAGCTAATTGCCTGACCAACTCAGTCAGAGTTGCCCCAGTTAGCAAGAGTCAATTTTGAAATCTTGTGGTTTCTTAGCTAATTGCCTGACCAATTGGAGTTGGCTTAGTCAGTAAGAGTCGATTTTGAAATCTTTTGGTTACTAAGCTAATTGCCTGACCAACTCAGTCGGGGTTGTTCCCATCCGCAGGATAAGCTAGTGACCTAAGGTAAAAGGTCTCAAGCTTAATATTCGTTTCTTATGTACCTAAAACAGCCACGGCATCCAGGACTAGACCAATAGATATATCTGAACCTTGTGAATGATAAACCAAATAACTAAAAACAGAATTTTTCAATTCACAGAGAAACAAATAGAAAGGGACAACAAGTGAAACCGACAGAGGGTCCTTACAACAGAGGTTTGATAGGAAATACAATGTGCCTTCACATGCCTTGCCTTGGAGCCTCCCCTGAGGTCGGATGTAAATTCTAAGATGTGTTTCAACGATTTACGTGTTATGTTGGCGACTTGGTGTTCATAGTAAAAACTGAACTTTCAAAACATCTAGCAAAATAGAACTATAAACCTTTCTATAGATTTACCAACCAATTGTGATCAATGCACCCGGGCTGTTGAATATATATTTTATATATATATATATATATAGAGGGATGCACTCAGGTGCGAATAAGTGCACAGGAAGGAATATGCGAACGAACCAGCACGCAACACGTGTCCAGTTCTAATAGCTTAAAAGAAACGCGGTAGCATTTTCGTAAATAATTGAACATCGAAGTGCAAATAAAATCACTTACAAGTGCACCTACTTTCACCTATAAGCACATGTAATTTTGTCTTGTTAACATTCACTCCCCGCAAACATTCATGCACCTGGGTGTACTTATAACTATATGTGCAACTACTTATAACTATAGGTGCACTTTGTATTGATGCTCAGTGAAATTTTTACTTGCACCTATAATACATTTTACATGCACTTGTAATACATTTTACTTGCACTTCGATGTTCAATTATTTACGAAAATGCCACCACGCTTTTTTTAAAAATCAGTGTTTCTCATCCATTAGATCTGGACACGTGGACAAATAGAATTCATTCTTATTTCGCGCCTGGGCGAAGCATTCGCACCTGAGTGCGATTATATATATATATATATATATATATATATATATATATATATATATATATATAGAAGGGATCAGGTGCATTTGTTGCTTCCCGTGCGGATGTGCAGTGGATTAATGTGCGTTGCGTGAGATTTGTACTCAATGTGCCTGAGATTTGTACTTAATGTGCGTCATGTTAATATACGTGAGTTTTGTACTTAATGTGCCTGAGTATTGTGTTTAATGTGCGTGAGATTTGTGCTTAATGTGCGTGCATATTTCAGAATTACGAGCTCAGAAGGAAGCAGAACAGAAACTCACGCACATTAACGCCCAAGCTTCTTGTTACTTCTTCCTTCAATTTGGCCATGGATTCTGGATTATCAGCTACCTTCAGTGCAGTTAAATGTTTATATAAATGACGCACGCACAGTAAAATTTGCATAGCAGCTAAGTGTGGATTTCTGTTGTATTATTCCCATAATTTTTAACCACCATAGCTCGCATCCGCATCATCATCCTCAGGAGGGGGAAATGGCTACTGGGAATGGGGAAGAAGCTGACATCAATATTTTTTGCTGCATTTTACACATTCACGCACATTAAGTACAAATCTCAGGCATATTAAGCTTAACACTCACGCACATTGAGTATAAATCTCACGTACATTAATCTACCGCACATCCGCACGGAAAGCATTCAATCGCACGGGAACCTTTCACTATATATATATATATATATATATATATATATATATATATATATATATATATATAAATGTGCAGTCCAATTATTAATTTAGATTTTTAATTAAAAAAGAGCACATTATTCAATTTGGTATCAGAGACTACAGTTCACATGTTTTTTGAAATCCGTCAAAAAGTAACCCAATAAAAAGAAATACTCAGTGCACATACAATAGTTGCTGTGAATTTCCCTGTCACTCATCAAAAAAAAAAAAAAGACATAACATTTCATAGAAATTACAGTAACAATGCAGCAATGCTAGAGGTTTGGAGATAACATTATCTTAGCTACAATTCATCCAAAAAAAGCCATAAAACAATGTAAAAGAATTCTTCTCATTTTCGAAGTGAAAATGACACAGAACAGATGAGATCCTCAAGAACTCCATCCAGCAGCCTCAACCATGGGTATTAACAGCTTCCCAGACTAAGTTCTTGGGCACTGGCTTGGTCAAGTCCCGCGCCTGCAGTGCAGCATTACGAAGCGTTCTGATAGTCAATAGGTTCGCCTTCCAGAACGAGGCGCAGTTGTAGGGCAAACCATGCTTTCTGCACAGATCCTTAACAAAGGGAGACACTTTCCTGAGATGACACCTTGGCAACCTGGGAAATAAATGATGTTCAACCTGAAACTGCAGCCCTCCATGGAACCAATCCATCCAAGAAGAGCAGGAAATGCCAAGAGTTCCATTAGTCTGCTTCTCGAACCAGTCATGGCTAGTAGGCGGTCCAACATAAACGCTGGACGAGAAATGGTTGAGGGTGAACTGAACGTGCTGAATCCCGGTCACTGTAAAACTAGCCACCACAAACATGATTCTCTCCCACCAATTGGGCAAGCAAGAAACCAGCAATGGATACCAGACCCAAAATGCAAGCAGCCCCAATAGCTCCTGCCCCCTATTGGGCACTTTTCTGTTGGACAATAACAGTGCAAATGACTGTGCAAACAGATTAATCCTAGCAAAACACATGACAGGATAATATGTCCAATGCTGATAGCTAACCAAGAACCTAGCAAATGTGTCAAAGTTCATCTTTCTTTCATAGATATATGAAGTGAGTGAGCTAAAGAACTTGGAAGATACCACAAAGAAAGGCAGGTGCTGAAGATCAGGATCATGGTCAAGGCTGTTGCAGGAAATGTGGTGGGCATTGTGGTTCCATTTCCACCACCCAATGCTTATCCCTGCAAGACAATTCCCAGTAAGGATCTGGGCAAATCTGTTACACCCTTTACTCATCATAATCTGATAGTGCCCAGAATCATGCCCTAACCACCCACTCTGAATCCACAGAAACCCCATCAGCCCTCCACTAACCAAATGCACCCACACATTTTCACTGCACAAAACCCCATAAACACTCACAGCAAATATGATAGCAATGAAGCACATGGAGAAGAAAACCCCATGCCCTTTCTTCTCAAACAGCCCCATCTTGGAGAACTCAGACACCAGCCTCCTGTAATCCTTGGACACCTCGGATACTGTGTAGTCCCTGAGGTAAAAGCCATTGAAGAATCTGTCAAGGTGGTGCCAGACAGCCCCTGGGTGGAATGCCACAAAAGCATCGGTCACATCTTGGCCTGCAAGGCTCCTCAGAGGCAGCTCCCCACCTGGGTGGACTTTCACCCACTCTGAAACATCATACACTTTCCCCTGAATAGACACCCACAGATCCCCTGCTTTGTTGTGCTTCTTCAGCTCCTCAGCAGTAATGTACTTCTTGGATTCCGCCATTGATGCCCGGAATGCTGCTTCTGAAAAGTGAAAAAACGAACCTTTTCAAGGAAAAAATAAAAAATGGAATTCAAGAAAGAGATCCCAGAAGATCCTTTTCAGTTTCTTCAAAGTTATCTTCCTCTCCAACACAATCAGGATTTCAAGATTTAGAGCATGTGAACAGATGGGCAGTCCATAGGATATACTGGGCATTTTTAAAAGCCCCACAATTTGTTTTTTTATACCAAAAAACGAGGAAAAAATATCACAAAATTAATGCTCCATAAATCTTTACATTTGTAATTTTGTTGTATTTTATTTGTATTAATTAATTAATAATGAGAATTGCTACTCTCGTACTCACTCAATGACAAAAATACAAAATATTCTGAATCTCACAACCAAACCTATGTTCGAACCATTAAACCAACGTGTTATAAACCCATACAAAATAATCTGGAATGTGATTGAGTGAAAGAGACCCATCCACTTTTAACTAAAGGTCAAAAAGGTCAAGAATTTGATCCTTTGCTTCGGATATGGAGCAGTCTTAAAGCTCCCCAAAAGATGAGTCTACACTCAGAAAAAAAAATCCATAAAAAATTACAGATATCCTTGTACGTTATCTGGATTAAAACTACATTTATTTGTTAATAAATTTTATTGAAACAGCTCACCTAAACCTTATTGTAAACGAATTAAAAAATAATTTCAGCATTAAAAAAATCCTTCTTAATTAGTCTTAATTAGTTAATTGCCGCCATTTTCTTGCGCAAATTATGCTGTGCAACCGAATGCACCTTGCAAGGTGCATACGATTGTAAAACGGCGCCGTTTTGATTAAAAAAACGCGCGTCCCACTTAAAGAAGAAATCAGGTTCGATTCCCGGCAATAGCATTTTTATATATCCAGAAATTCATAACTATATATCCACAATTTCATAACTATATATCCACAATTTCATAACTACATATCCACAGTGAATGAATGAAGTAAAAATCCACAATGAATGAATGAATGAAGTAAAAATTCACAATGAATGAATGAATGAAGTAAAAATCCACAATGAATGAATTAAATATCCACAATATATGATTGAACTAAATATCCACAATGAATGAACTAAATATCCATAAATTCATAACTATATAACCACAATTTCATAACTATATATCCACAATTTCATAACTATATATCCACAATAATGCTATTGCTGAGAGTCGAACCTGATTTTTTTTTTAAGTGGGACGCGCGTTTTTAATCAAAACGACGTCGTTTTGAACCGTATGCACCATGCGCATGGTACATTCAGTTGCACAGCATTACTATTGATTTTCTTGAGTGAAGGCTTAAGGAAAAGAAAAATACTGAATCCCAAAGCCAAAAGAAAAAAGAAAGAGAGAAAGAAAGTAAGAAAGAAAGAAAAAAAGGAGGCCCGATTAGGGTAAATTATTGTATGGTCCACATAATTATGTGGATTATGAATGTAAAATACATTTTTAATATATTAAAGTATATTATAAAGTCGTATAAAAGTACATTATTTATATATTAAATGTATGTTATATGACGTATAAAAAATCATGTATTTTCAAATAATGTATTTTTACAGGGCGTTTGGTTGGAGGGGGGAATCATGTGGGAAAGGAATTGTAATTCCATGGGAGTTGAATTACTGGGAATAAGGTGGGAATTTAAATTTCAGTGTTTGGTTGACAGGAATAGAATTACTGGGAATTTCAATTCCAATGTTTGGTATACATGGGAATTGAAAGGGAATAAGTAGTATAAAGTCAAAAATGTCCATTATTGTTGTTAGACATTAATTTTAGGTTAAAAAAGGAAGGGGTAATTTTGACTCATCACTATCTTTTTTTCCCATGAATTAAAATACCAGGGGGGACATGGGATTTTAATTCCATGAAAATGAGGGAATTGCAATTCCATGGAATTGCAATTCCCTCCAACCAAACTACGGAATTTAATGGCCTTTGGAATTAGATGGGAATTAAGTGGGAAGGGAATTTAAAATCCCTCCAACCAAACGCCCTGTTAATATATTAAAAATGTACTTTTTATTTATGGTCCATGGAATAATGATTACCCTATTAGCATCAATACCGATTTGTTATATTGTAAATTATTAAAAATATATCACCTAAAAGTTTGTGAGGATCGTATAACAGTGATGTTAGAATTTCTCTAAACAACCCTGCCTTCCCCCCGAGGGGGATTCAGGGGGGAAACGTTCCAACAACAATCTTCATTTACGCGCTTCACTTGCATTGGCCTATCTCTATCCAACGTGAGAGACCAATTGATTCAATTAAAAAAGAATTTCCGTTTTCAGAATTGTTAAATTCAGTGATTAAGAATATACAACGTTCTCGCTATGACCTCCCTCTCTCTCTGCTTTCGGCGCCTTACTATTCTTTCAGGGAAACTCCTGAGAAGGGGGGAGTTCCTGGATTTCCTTAAGAATGTTCAAATTTGGAACAATAGTTGTAACGCAGAGGCTTTTAATCGAAAATTCTTAATCTGCGAGACAATTCTCGTATTAGGAGAAAAGCCTAAATTCAATATGAGCACGGTTTAAAGTGCAAAAGTTGAAAACACTTTTACACAATAAACTCGATCTTCTTATCTCTCTAATATCTATTGAAACCTACCTTTCGTTACTATTTCTGAGTGAACTTAAAACGGTATAAGAAATATTTATACTTTTATCTCAATACATTGAACTCTCAAGACAATATATGAGAAATTTTGTGTGTGCTTGGCCTTCTTGATCTCTTGGGGTAGGAATCCGTGTTTGGAATATGAGTCTTACTTTGTCTGGGATTCATTCTTTGACGTCCTGATTCTTGAAGTGTTGCGAATACAAGGTTCACTTTGTTGAGATTCATTGACTATTATTCATTGTCCTTGTATCCTAATAGAATTAATATAATATTTTTGTCAATAATTTTAGACAACACTGTTTTGGATCAACATCACCTGTTGATATCTGATTATTATTGTTTACTAGCAATTCACCCGCGCGATGCACAGAAAAAAATTATGTTATTATAAATATAAATAAAAAACAAAAAAATTAAAATATTTTAAATTATTTAATATAATAATATTTTTGAGCTTCCATTTGTCGAAGTATTTATTATTTTTTATAGAATACAAAATTACAATTATAATTATAATTATAATTATAATTTTATATAGTTAATATAATCTCTAATTATGTGCATATTCAAATAAACTTATAGAGAGAATTTACATAATTATATTGATTTATTCTTAATTGTATTTCATCTATATTATAATTTTCACAATACGAATAATAACTAAGATAATTACATTTGGAAAGCAAATTTCAAATTTTGTATGTGTAAATTTAAACTCTAATTGAACACATTTTTTATATGATTATATAATATATAACTATTTTATTTTTCAAAAACATATTTTTATATGATTATATAATATATAGCTATTTTATTTTTAAAATGTTGCGCTTTTTTTTTTTTTTTTTTTTTTTAATAAAGGATGTTGTGGCATTAATTGTAACATTAATTATTTCCCAAACCATATAGCTTTATTATATAAAGGATTATTTATTATTATTATTATTATTGTTAGTGTTGTTCGATCTAAATGTTTAATCGTTTACCTTTTCTATCTATCTATGTATTAGGGAAAAAAAACCCATTAGGACAAAGTATGGCTAGAGGCTTAAATAAATAAATAAAGATGCCAAATAAATCTCTAATTGAATACCTAACTAAAATAGTTCCATCCAAACTTCTTTTTTTAATACTATTGACTCTATTACATTGTAGTATTTGTGCAATATCTTTTTTTTTTTATCAGTTGTAGTCTGGTGGATTCAATCTTGTAACATTCCTTCAATGAGAGTCACAGAAGTGTCAATTGAGCACAAGATATATTTTTTAAATCAACAAAAAAGTATAATTGAGTTTTAACATACAATTCACTAGGTTAATGCTGATGCCATTAATACGTGATGTTTTAATGCTGATGTGGATCTTAATGTACAATTTTTTTCTTTTTTTTATTGTTTTGAAATTTTTTTAGAAGCATCATCCATTGTTATCATCTCCATCAACAAATAGTTGTGACTCTCTAATGACAACTATGATTATCTTATTCGAATAGTCGTGACTATTCTTAAAAAAGAGTAAATACCTAAAATGGTCCCTCGACTATAGCTAAATTCACAAATTGGTCCTCAACTTTCAATTTCACCCAATTAAGTCCTTAACTTTGTAATTTTAACACAATTTGGTCCTATGTCTATTTGACCGTTTGTTGACTGTGATTTTTGAGGATATATATGTAATTTCATGGTCCATCGGTTTTTTAAGGTTCCGGCTGCATTTCCAGACCGCACTGTTACATTCGAATCCACTGCCGAAAGCAATCTACCAAATTCGGTCGCCTTTCTTCGTCCTCCCTTTGGATTTAATGTAGTTGAGTTTGTACCAGAGCAAAGAAGACGACGTGTTTCTGAACCGGTGCAACGTCATCCTGGAGGCCTCCACGTGCTCCGACGAAGCTGAAGGTTCTTCTGGAGATCGTCGATCACGGTCAACAAATGGTCAAATAGATGGAGGACCAAATCGTGTCAAAATTGCAAAGTTAAGGACTTAATGGTTAAAATTAAAAATTGAGGACCAATTTGTGTTAAAACTACAAAGTTAAGGACTTAATTGGGTGAAATTGAAAGTTTAGGATCAATTTGTGAATTTAGCTATAGTCGATGGACCATTTTGGGTATTTACTCCTTAAAAAATATTAAAATAAATAAAACAAAACAAAATTGCACACTTGAATTAACAAAAGTATCAAAACGTCACATGTTAATCACACAAAGGTTAACTTACTAAATAAATAATTAACTTTAGGACTCAATTAAACTTTTTTTTTTTTTTTTTTTTTAACTCTCTTATTTTGTCTGTTAACTAGTAACCACACAGATTTGTCTGGGAAAGGACAAAAAACATTTTTCAATAATTTGTGTTCTTTCCAATAATTTGTGTTGGAACTTTTGGGAGAATGGGTGGCTATGTGGCAGGTCACAGGTGTGGTAGCTATGGATTCTTTTATAAGCTCATTGGTTATCAGTTGCCCAGTCCCAGATTACAATATATGCCTTCTAGCTATTGCTCAGTTAAAATTATGGAAAATATTTCAACTCAGA